TTTTTTGTCAGCTCTTTAGAAGGATTAAAGTGGGGAAAGTACAATATCAGCACAAATTTGTATGTGACCATAATACTTAATTAAAAACAAAATCATTGAAAAAACAAAAGAATAAAAAATTATTCTCAGTGCAGGTAAAGGTAGAGTGAAATCTAGAGACTCTTAAGCTGCTAGTGGAAGGTGAAATTGGCACATTTCTACAGTAAGACCCCAACTTGGGAACATTTGAGTTGTGAACCTTGACACATACAAACAGACCTCACATTAGGAACATTCGGACCAAACAAATCATGGCAGCAGCTCATGTGTCTGCTGGACACTGTCACAGCTGTGCTGCTGGGTGCTTACTGCACAGTGCGATGGTGCACAGCAGTACAGTACGCAGTCAGAGCCCAGGATGTCCCGAAGCAAGAGGAAAAGCAGTGGTGATGTGGAGGGGACTGCTGGGAAGTGCAAAGCGATATGCATTGTACGTTTGTGTCAAAGGTGTATGAGTCTCCCTTTGTTGGACTTACGAACGAATCTGACTTGTGAATGTTCTCCCAGAACAGAACTCATTTGTAAGTCAGGGACTTACTCAGTAGTAATTCTAGCAGTGCTTATATTTGAAATCTTAAAAATGTTCATACCCCATAGCTACTGACACACAGCCTACTTAGGGAATGTATCCTCATTAGGGTTTCTAGCTACGTGGCCCCCAGAACCCTCTTGCTCTCATAGATGGGACTTTTGGAATATGGCCGGGTTATGAGATCCTGATCGCTGACTTGCTGTTAGGAGGCGGCGCCTGGCCAGAAGAGGCGGTCACTGGGCCATGACTGGAAAGGTCTGTCTCCCTCCTTGGCTCTTCCCTTTTCTTTCTGCTTCCGGGCTCCCATGTGATGCCACACCCTTCCTCATGCTGTTTCTTCCTGAGCCCCCAACCATGCAAGGATTGAAACTTCTAAAGTGGGAGCCAATAAACCTCTCCTTGAAAATGTGGGTATTTGTCCCTTGGATGAGGAAAATGATTAAGACAATCCCAAAGAAATAATAAAACATTTAGTCAAATATTTATATAGAAACATTCATCTTAGTTTTACTTAGGAACAACTCCAGTGTAATAGTAGGACAGCAGTTATATACACTAAAATTGAATTAAATAATTAATGGAGAGATAATTATAATATGTGAAAAGGAAAGCTACAAGATGGAATGAGGGCTAGGGACATAGCTTAGTGGTAGAATGGCTAGTGTGCGCAGTACTTGGGTTAATCTCTCACTGAGGGAAAAAAGGAATGGGATCAAGTAAGGAAATGTACTTAGGCACACATCCATATAGAGAAAAGACAAATGCAAATGTTTATTAAACATTTTTTTAAAACTTGGTGATGAGAGTATGTAATTTTTATTTCATTTTTTCCTTTTATAAAAATTTAAATATTATTTTATCAGAAACATTGTTTTTAGGGCCAGGAATTTAGCTCAGTGCTTCTGCCACCTGCCTCACAAGC